AACATGGTTACTTTAGGGTTACTAGCTGTAACCTTCCTCTGTGCGCACTAGACTTGTAGGGGGACAATCCCTTATACTAGAACTATACCCTAGCCGTAGTCATACAATGACGTCCCAAGTTTCCAAAATCAACAAATTGTGCAACAACGTATATAACATCATGTATATACAAGTTAATCAACTATTTACCATGCACAATCGAATTTAAAAACACATACAATACATGCTCTAAGTCCACAACTACTAAGGCATGACAAACGTCGAATCTTCAGAGTGCGATTCGTTACACACTATAATAAAATCACATGTCGAATCTTCAGTGTGCGATTCGTTACACACTATAACAATATCACTCAATATTGAAAACATAAACTCATGAATCTCATACAAGTCCAAAATCATGATTTAAATATACAACCAACATCAAATGCATGATTATATCATTAATGCAGTATAAACAAATATTAATTAAATAAACTAATTAATTTATCTAGGTTTCAAATCTCAACCAAATAATCCATAATTAATATATGTTAAACAATATAGAATGGTCATTACATATATCTATTCAAAAACTTAATTAGGCCATTAGAACAATAAAGTAAAATTTAATTAGATCATGATAGTTAAATCTCTAGATTCTAAAACAACTCCGAATGGTCCCAAATTAATATATGCTAGTAAACAAGTTCTAGTCATTACAATTATTAAGTTAAAAACTTAATTAAGCCAATGGAACCATTAAATAGATTTTAATTAATTCTTTTAATTAAAATCTCTAGATTTTTAAACTCATCCAAATGCTCTCAAATTAACATAGGTTAAAGAACTCACCTAGGCTTACTTTAATATCACATTACAAGTTGATTTCATGCTAGTTACAAATATGTGAATTAAATTTTTATAAAAAAAAAAATTATTAAATAAAAGTTACAATTCTTATTCAAATAATTTCAATTTAATATATGTTAATGAACATATCAAGGCCAAATTTACTAAAATGCCATAATTTAATTCTAAATTATACACAACCTTGAGAATTAAATCCTATATAAAGAAAATAATTAAATTAAATTTTAAGATTAATATAAAGCATGTATACAAGTTGTATAAGCTTATAACACAAACAATACAACTCAAATATAAACCTATGACATCCTCTACCTCAATTTGAGATGAAAATCTCAAATCTCAACCGAAATGAAACCCCTTCGAATCCTATGAAACTTCAGAGTTTTGTCAGGGACAGCACGGTGAACATTAAACCCCAAGGAGGTCACACCAAAATCCAAACTTGGCTTCAAACCCGAACTCAAAAAATGAGCGAAATGAGATTCCAATCGGTTGGAATCAAAGGCCTCGCCAAGGCAGACATTAAACACTAAGGCATTACGGCGTTTCATTAAAGGGATGAGGTTCAAAGGAGGAGATATAAGGTGGTAGCCCCTTGGGCTGCCATGGAATCCGGCCAAAAGAGGGGAGAGAGATGAAGAAATCTGATATTTTTATTTTAGACCCCCTATTTATAGAAAAATTCAAAAAGTGCCCCGAACGGGTCCCGCTAGGTCCGGAAAAGTAAAATTTGAGCAGACGCGCTCAAACGGAAAAACTCTATGAACAAAAAAGAACCGAAATGAGAAAAAATAAACAATGGAAGAAACGGCATCGAAAACCGAGTCCAGAGGAGAGAGATATGCCCCAAACAAGTTTAGCGTTAATCGAGGCCAAAACCTAAAAACTGTAGGGTTCGACCGCAAGACAATTTTAAGAGTACACAACTCGAAGAAACGTGAAAATGAATCCCGTACGAGGATCCAGGCTTAAAATGAGGTATTTTGCGATAACTTTCGTTAATTGTACAATGGCCCTCCAAGAAAGGATAACTGTTTTTACAATCCCCCGAAATAAAATATCTTCAAAAGATATTTACGAAAAACACCCCAAGAAACAAAATTATTTTTGAAGAACTTTGCATCCATACCCCTATGGACACCGGGAGCAACCAGAGTTTTTCTACAAAAGTAAAGATACGTATTCCGTGGAAACCGCTTAAAATGAAGGCGCATGAAGTCGAAAATCAACTCCGAGCACGAAAAGTGAAGTTACGCCAAAAAAGTGACCAACGGGGAAAAGACGAAAAATGAATAGTGTCAAAAAACAAAAAAATGTGAAAATGACGCGGTCCTTTAAATAAGTTGTCAATTCAAAGGAAAAAATCTCGGAAACCATTTCCGAGCACTTAAGACAATACTAAGTGACGAGAAACCAAACACAGAAAAGAAAAGATAATAGAAAAAAATTATCCGTAAAATTTGAGGAAAAATGAACGGAAGGAAAATGACCAAATCATTACAAATCATTCTCTCCAATCAAACATAGCATAAGTCGACAGGGGCGGAGCTAGGAAAAAATATTTGGGGGGGCCAAATTAGTTAATATAAAATCAAATTTAAAAAATAAAATAAAATACTTAGTAATTTTTTTAAAATTAAGAGCACGTGTTTTATTTTTAAGTGTCAGTCAAATTTTTTTTGTTCTCTCTAATTCATAACAAATAATATATATATGTGTGTATGTGTGTGTGTGTGAGAGAGAGAGACTGTGTGTGTATAAATAAAGTCTGTTGTAATAAGGATTATCATAATAATGGTTATTATTATTATTATTATTATTATTATTATTATTATTATGTTTTACTATATTTCGAATTTATTAAAGCAATAGGTTTGGAAAAGGCAAGTTTTAATTTTTATATAAAAAATCACCATTAGTAACTATAATAATGATTTTTTTTTTTTTTTTTTTGAATTTTTTTGAAGTAGGATGTTTATTCAAATTTGAAGAATTATAATAATTTCATTAACAAACCACATTCAATAATCTTAAGGTAAACCATAAATAGATTTTTTTTTTTATATTAAAAATTTTGCAAAATTAAAAATTACTATTAATATATATATATATATATATATATATATATATATAATTATAATTTAGTAGTAGTAATAAAATTTTGCAAATGGGGGGCCATGGCCACCCTTGGCCCCCCGATCCCTCCAAGTCAATCTTTTACTAGCTAGCTGTTTACTTACACAAAGCACATGCAAGTTTGTCATAGCTTATAGGCATAAATTCATAAAATTAGCAATCAACTTCAACCCCATTCGAGCTTGTCTGGGTTTGCTTCTCTATTGCAGTTTTATATAGTTATCAAATTCAGTTCAGTAGAGCATTTGAATGAAGTTAGAATTGGGAGTTATTTTTTATTTTTTACCAAAGAATTTGGAGCTTATAAAATTGCGTTATGAGGTTAAATATTTTGTAACTCTTTTTCATTAGACAATTTTATTCATTTTATTTTTTATAACGACAATTACACCCCTTCTTTAAATTTAATAAAGTTGCTATTATCAAATATGGTAACATCATATTAAAGGATATTATTGTAAAATTAACAATAAAAGTGTTTAAAAAAAAATATTGTTACAAATTAAATTAAAAAATAATTTAATTGTGAAAAGTACTTATTATAATATGTCACCAAACAGTCCATGTACCTAACATGTTTTTTTACTGACTGCAATTTTTGATAGCTATATTAATATTCCAATAGCAATCCCAAACGGAATAGAAAAAGTTGAGCAAATTTGAAGACTTGGATCCTCTAAGTTAAATATTCTTTAAGTTATCCTAAATTGAATTCGCTACAGATTGACACGTGACATTTAAAATCTATCTATGGCTAGTGTTAAACCAACTCAACTAATTTAAAGAAAGTTTGAAAACTGCACCATTTTGAAATAAGAAAAATTTACCAAAGTTTAAAAACTGCACTATTTTGAATAAAAGAAAATTGTGTTGTTTTCTCTACAAGTTGTGATGGTCTTTGTTTCTCTTTTAACCTTACCGACGTTGTCTCTCATCTTTTCTATATATATATATAACTCTATCAATCACATTTGCATGTCTTGCAATCACATTTTCATCTATCCTAATTCCATGGCAAAGAATATTATTTTTTGCGCGAAATATTCCCCCAATTGTGAGATTGAGCAAAGGAGAGAGAGGGATGATCTTTTTTGGCAACGTTAAACGTTGTTATTTTAACAAATAGTGCATTTTTCAGACTTTTTTAAAATTAGTTGACGTAATTTAATATCAGTAGATTGATTTTAAATGTCACGCGTCAATCTGTAGCGAATTCAATTTAGGATAACTTAGAGTATCAATTTCATTGATAGCTTATTTTGATTTGGGTGGACATGCCAATCAGATTATAGTTTTGACTCACTCAATATATTTTCCTCCTATAGAAGGGTTCAAACTTGCATCGTGTAGTCCTTGCCATTATTTGTCTCCTTTATGTAACTTAGGGATGTACCTTACAATAAGATAAAATTTAATTTATTATCTAAACAAAGACAAAATAGTATAATATTATTTTTTACTTCAAATTTTATTTTAAATCCAATTGGTTCTAAATATATTCAATTTTTTTTTTTTCGGGAAGGTTTGTTCTAAATATATACATGAAATTCCAATTCTAAAAGGAATTGGTTCCAAACAGTGTATGCATGTGTGTGTTTATAGAAGGGTTAAAACTTGCATCGTGTAGTCCTTACCATTATTTGTCTCCTTGATGTAACTTAGGGATGTATTTTACAATAAAATAAAATTGAATTTATTATCTAAACAAAGACAAAATAGTATAATATTATTTTTTATTTCCAATTTTATTTTAAATCCAATTTGTTCTAAATATATACATTTTTTTTTTTTTTTTGGAAGGTTTGTTCTAAATATATACATGAAATTCCAATTCTAAAAGGAATTGGTTCCAAACAGTGTATGTCTGTGTGTGATATATATATACCAAACGAGGATCAACACTCTTCTTCCTCTACTTTGTCTCTTCCTCAAAACCTTAAACCCTAAAAAGAAGAGACCGAGCGAATTGGAGAGAGAAAGAGACTCTAAAACAATTAATCAATCCAGCGGGAATGGCCAACATCACGGAAGATTTGATAGTCCACGTTCTCTCCCGACTTCCAGTAGAAACTCTGCTACGGTTCAGGTGCGTTTCTAAAAGATGGTGTGCCCTAATTGACTCCCCTAACTTCCTCAGTTTGCAACTCAATGAATCACTCGCAACCAACAATAACCTCACTCTGATTTTTGAAAAACTGAAGGTCGACGGTCTCTATTCTTTAGGGTTTGACTCTCTTGATGATATCCTAAACCATGATGACCATAATATAGTAAAATTTGACGACCCTTTTCTGAAAGCAGACAAATTTGATATAGTAGGTTCTTGCAATGGCTTGATTTGTTTGATATCTTTGGGTGTTAATGAAGTGCTCATGTTGTTAAACCCATCCACCAAAAAACACCAAATTTTACCACCTATGCCACCACCTTCTTCAGAAATTTGTGACACTGTTCATGGATTTGGGTATGATCCCGTCAATGACGATTACAAGATTGTAAATGTGGCCACTTTGTTTGATGATGAGGTGAACCCTTTGGGCTCTGAAATAACAGTTTTTAGTTTGAAATCGAATGTATGGAGAAGGATTAATCATCGTTTCTCTAATCTCCTTAGACCTGGTCAGCATGGTGTATTTTTTAATGGTGCTTTGCATTGGGTGGCTACTCGCCAGCCCGAGTTACATGAGGATAATTATATTGCTGCATTTGATCTCAGGGTTGAGAACTTCCGGGAGGTGCAGCTCCCAAAAGATTTTTGGTCGGTGACTTTGGGAGTTTCGGGTGGATGCTTGTGGCTGTTTGGTATTAATGTTAATGATGACGACCATCTGGAGTTATGGGTAATGAATAATTACGTGATGCGGGAGATGTCGTGGACAAAACATTCTCTATCTTTCTTTTCACATGTGTGTTGGAAATAGTGGCCTAGTTACACACACAACACTATACTATTTGGAAGAGAATAGAAATGGAGGAAAATATTTCTTATTTCACTTGATGGAAAATGAGTACAATGCATGGGTTTATATAGGCTTCAAAACATAAATGTAAATGAAACTTAAAACCCCACTAACATATCATTTAGTAGGCAAAACTCCCACTAACCCACTAACATGACCATTTAGTAGGCAAAACTCCCACTAACCCACTAACATGAACATTTACTAGTTGTAACTCTCATGCCCCCCACTAACTCCAATAAAAAACTCACATAAATGTAAAACACTAAATAAAATAAAGTTTAATTTCTAACACCCCCTCTTAAACTTGATTTTTTTTCAACTCCAAGCAAACTCCTAAACTTGTGAAAATCTGCAAACTTGAGGGGCTTGGTGAAAATATCCGCAACTTGATCTTGTGACTTGATGAACTTGAGCTCCACCTCCTTCTTAGTTATACATTCTCTAATGAAATGAAATCTTGTATCAATATGCTTGCTTCGTTCATGAAACACCGGATTCTTGGCCAAAGCAATTGCTGATTTGTTGTCCACAAAAATCTCCGTTGACTCTTCTTGTAGCATGTGTAATTCCTTCAACAAATTCCTCAACCAAATTACTTGACAGACACATGAAGTGGCTGCAACATATTCTGCTTCACAAGTTGAGAGGGTGACAATGGGTTGCTTCTTTGAACACCATGTAAAAGCAGTATTTCCCATGAAAAAACAATAGCCTGAAGTACTTTTTCTATCATCCAAATCTCCGGCCCAATCACTATCACAATAACCCACAAGCTTGAAATCATTAGAAAATGAATAGAATAACCCAAAATCAAGGGTACCTTTGATGTAACGAAGAATCCTCTTAGCCGCCTTGAAATGAGTTATGGTGGGTCTTTCCATAAACCGACTAACAAGCCCAACCGCAAATAATATGTCCGGCCTTGTGCATGTTAAGTATCTCAAGCTTCCAACAAGACTTTTGAAAAATGTTGGATCCACCGTTTCTCCATCTTCATCTCTTGACAATTTAATTCCAACTTCCATGGGCGTGTTCACCAATTTACAATCTTCCATCTTGAAATTCTTAAGAATTTTCTTAGCATAGCCTTCTTGGTGAATGAAAATTCCATCCTTCATTTGCTTGACCTCAATGCCAAGATAATAAGCCATGATGCCAATATCTGTCATCTCGAACTCTCGAGCCATAACCTTCTTGAAATCTTCAAACATTTTTGGATTGCTACCTGTGAAGATTAAATCATCCACATACAAGCAAACAAAAAATACATCTCCATTCTCACTTACTTTGGAGTAAAGAGCATGTTCATATGGGCACTTTGAAAAATTATTGTCTTGAAAATATTTGTCAATTCGCTTATTCCACGCTCTTGGTGCTTGCTTCAAGCCATATAAAGCCTTCTTCAATTTCAAGACTCTGTTTTCTTGCCCCTTTACAACATAGCCCATGGGTTGTTGAACATACACCTCTTCTTCAAGAAACCCATTCAAGAAAGCCGATTTCACATCCATTTGGTGGATTCTCCAATTGTTCTGGGCTGCCAAAGAAATTAACAATCTAATTGTTTCCAAACGAGCTACGGGTGCAAATACCTCATCATAGTCAATTCCAGGCTTTTGGTTGTACCCCTTGGCGACCAATCTTGCTTTATATTTTTCAACTTCACCATTTGCATTATGCTTTGCTTTATACACCCACTTGACACCAATTGCCTTTTGCTCTTTTGGAAGTGTAGCAAGCTCCCATGTGTCATTCTTCTCTATGGATTTAATTTCTTCATCCATAGCATTTCTCCATTTTTTGTCTTGTGCAGCCTCTTCAAATCCTACGGGTTCACAATCCGCAAAGAGACAAAAAAGTGTTAGATCACCTAACCTTTCCGTTACCTCATCTGTTTCGTCATATATGTCACGAAGACTCCTCATGCGAAGTGGTGGTGTGTCACTTGAACTTGATGATGATGGAGTTGATTGATCTTGAATTGATGGCGGTGGAGGTGATGTTGGTGGAGAAATGGGCTGCTCCATGCCTTCATTTTCTTGCTCCTCATCTGAAATTGAAAAAATATTATAATCTTCATTTGGAGTGTTCCAATCCCATGTGGCTCCCTCTTCGAATTCAACATCTCTACTAATGACAATCTTCCCATTGCTTGGATTGTACAACTTGTAGCCTTTGGAATTTGCATCATAGCCAATGAACACCATTTTTTCACTTTTGTTGTCTAACTTGGTCCTCCTTTCATCCGGCACGTGCACATGGGCAATGCTCCCAAAAACCCGCAAATGAGAGACACTTGGCTTTCTTCCGCTCCATGTTTCTTGTGGTGTTTTGTTTTGTACACTTCTAGTAGGACACCGATTGGACAAGTACACCGCACAATCAACCGCTTCAGCCCAAAATTCTTTAGGCATTTCCTTACTTTTCAACATGCTTCGAGCCATATTGAGAATGGTTCTGTTCTTCCTTTCTGCAATTCCATTTTGTTGGGGCGATCTCGGAACCGTTAAAGGATGGTGAATTCCATTTTCTTCACAAAATTTTTTGAAATTATTTGATGTGAATTCACCACCTCTATCGGATCGAAGAGCCTTTACATCATAGCCACTTTGTTTTTCAACAAGTGCTCTAAATTTTTTAAAAATTTCACACACCTCCGATTTTTGTTTAAGAAAATACACCCATGTTTTTCGGCTAAAATCATCAATGAATAATAAAAAATAATTATTCTTACCAAATGATGATGGAGAAATTGGACCACAAACATCCGAATGGATAAGTTGTAGTGGCGCCGTAGCTCTTGTGGTAGCTTCTTTAGGAAAACTTTTCCTTGATTGCTTTCCAACGAGACATCCTTCACATAATTGATTTGGATTGCTAATGAAAGGCAATCCCTTCACCATCTTCTTTTTGGCCAACAACTCTAATCCTCCAAAATTCAAGTGCCCAAATCTCAAGTGCCAAAGCCAAGTTAAATCATTAACACAAGCCTTCAAACATTTAGCCTCGTCGGCTTGAATATTTAGCAAAAACATCCGGTTCTTTGTCATTGGAACCTTGGCAATCAAATTACCCAATGGGTCTCTTATCGAAAGACTACAATCCTTCATGGATATATTGTAGCCTTTTTCTAAGAGTTGTCCCAAACTCAAAATATTGTTCTTCATATTAGGCACATAATAAACATTAGAGATAAATTGATGATGCCCATTTCTCAAACGAATCAATATTTTACCTTTCCCTCTTACCGGAATTTGTGATAAGTCTCCAAATGTTACCTTGCCATTTATTGATTCATCAATATCAACGAACTTCTCTTTGCTACCACACATATGATTGCTAGCACCGGTGTCAAGATACCACACATCTTCTTGATCACTCCTTTCACATTTGTATGCTAACAACAAAGTAGGCTCCACTTCTTCATCAACATAATTCGCCTTTTCTTCAACATCGTTAGCAACATTTCTACATTCCGAAGCATAATGACCATACTTTTGACAATTATAACATTGAATTTGAGACTTATCATACCTCCTTCCATATGACCTTGAGTAATTTCCTCTACCACGACCTCTTATTTGTTGTGAGTCATGGATTTTTTCTTCATTGTTGGTTGTGTGTTGACCGCTTCTTTCTCCTCTTCCACGGCCTCTTCCTCTTCCTCGGCCACGTGCATTTCCACGTCCTCGGCCCCTTTGATTTCCTCCATGTTTTTCGTCTCTTTCGTTCAACGAAAACTTTGTTTGTAGCACTTGCTCCAATGCTTCTTGTTTCTTCACCACCTTTTCTTCATGAGCTTGCAACGAACCCATGAGTTGATCAACAGTCATGGAATCCAAATCCTTTGACTCTTCAATGGCTACAACAATGTAGTTGAATTTGGAATCCAACGACCGAAGGATCTTTTCAACGACCCTTGTATCAGTCATGGTGGTTTCGCCATATCTCCTTAGTTGATTTACAATAGCCAGGACCCTCGAAATATAATCTGAAATTGATTCAGATTCCTTCATATGCAATGCTTCAAATTCACCCCGTAACGTTTGGAGGCGAACCTTCTTCACTTTATCAACTCCTTGGAAGGAATTTTGAAGAATCTCCCATAGTTGCTTTGCATTTTCTGCACTAGCAACTCTTTGTAGCATTCCATCATCCAAACATTGATGGATGGTCATCACCGCCTTTTGGTCCTTCTTTCTCATGGCTTGTAAAACATCTTTTTCGGCTTGAGACAAAGTTGCCTCATCTTCTGGCTCATCATAACCTTTGGAAACAACTTCCCACACATCTTGTACTCCCAAAATTGCCTTCATACGGATACACCAATTTTCATAGTTATCTTTGGTGAATCGAGGCATTTGAAATGGAACCGAATTGTTTGCCATTTCTTCTCTCTCTCACAAACTAGCTCTGATACCACTTTGTTGGAAATAGTGGCCTAGTTACACACACAACACTATACTATTTGGAAGAGAATAGAAATGGAGGAAAATATTTCTTATTTCACTTGATGGAAAATGAGTACAATGCATGGGTTTATATAGGCTTCAAAACATAAATGTAAATGAAACTTAAAACCCCACTAACATATCATTTAGTAGGCAAAACTCCCACTAACCCACTAACATGACCATTTAGTAGGCAAAACTCCCACTAACCCACTAACATGACCATTTACTAGTTGTAACTCTCATGCCCCCCACTAACTCCAATAAAAAACTCACATAAATGTAAAACACTAAATAAAATAAAGTTTAATTTCTAACAATGTGTATGAAGATCTTCATGTTGGCCAACTAGGAATTCTAGGTTATTCAAAGGGTACCACCCAAGTTCTCCTCGTACAAATTAATTTCAATCTTTTTTGGTTAGACCTCAAACAGCAAACAGTCGTGGATCTTGGCTTTCATTCACGGGGGTTTCAGCCACTTGCAGCAGAGATTTGCATCGCCAGC